CCTGCTGACACCTGCTGACACCTGCCCTCCCACCTGCTGACACCTGCTGACACCTGCTGACACCTGCCCTCCCACCTGTTGACACCTGCTGACACCTGCTGACACCTGCTGATGCCTAGGCTGTTTCCAGTGGTGGACGACCTGTGAACACTCCTAACCAAATCTTTGTACGGATATATGCTTTCTTTTCTCGCAGGCAGACTCCTCGGACTGGAACGTTTAGCCCACCCAACGGATGAGTGCTTACCTTGGAAGGAGCTACCAAACTGGCTTCCAAAGTGGTTGTCGTGTTCTATGTCCCACCAGCAGCTCCTCTTCACCCCTGACGCTCTTCACAGTCAGTCTTTCCATGACAGCACACGCGGTGGTGTCTCGTTTCCTAAGAATAATCGTGCTGAGCATGTTTTCGTGTGCTTGTTGGCCACTCCTGTCTTTTCTTGGGGGAATTGCTCACTTAAGTATTTCTCTCATTTCTGTTTTGGGTTGTTTTCTTATTAAGTTTGAAGAGTCCTAAGTATTTATCAGATGTGTGCTTTGCCAAGTATTTTCTCCCAATCTGTGATTTGCTGTTTTATTCTTTCAACCATCTTCTGGAGAGCAGGATGAATTTGGGGAGCATGTATCCCCTTCAGTTCCCTGGGAGAGTTGTGTGCAACGGGTTCTCTTTCTTCTCTAGCTGTTTGGTAGAATTCCCCAGTGAGGCCGTCTGAGCCTGGGGTTTTCTTCGTAGTTTCTCTCAGATATAGTGCTATTTAGATGATCTACTTCCTCTCAAGTGACCTTTGGTAGTTTGTGTCCTTCAAGGAACTTGTCCATTTCATCTAAGTTGTTAAATTTATTGGAACAGAATTTTTAATAATATTCCCTTATTTCCTATAGAATGTGCAGAGAGGCTGGACGCTGGCACTTTGAGTCCCCTTTGTCCTGACTGGTCTGGCTCCAGGTCCGTCAACTTCTTCATCTTCTTAAAGAACCAGTATTTGATTTTGTCAATTTTCTCTGTTTTTCTGTTTTTTGTTTTTTGTTGGTTTTTTTTTTGCGGCACTGATTTCCCCTTGGATCTGAAGGGTTTAATTTGCCCTTTATTCTCCAGTTTCTCAATGTGAATATTAAGGCCTTAATATTGATTCTCTGCCCACAATTATGGGTTTGTCTATTTCTCCTGCAGTTCTATCGGTTTCAGCCTCCTACATTGTGCAGTTTTGTTGCTAGTACACGAATGCTTGGGTTTGCTGTGTCTTCCTGGTGAATGGGTGCATTGTCATGATGAAATTGCCTTCTTTTCCCCTGGCAATGGTCTTTTCTCCAAAACTTGCTTTTTGTGGTATTAACAGAGCCATGCAAGCTTCCCTCCAACTGGTGTTCGCGGGGTGAACCCTTCCGCTGCCTGACCTACCTGTGCCTTCGTATGTAAGGTGCGTTTCCCGTGAGCAGCCTAGAGCTGGGACTTGCTTCTTCCTCCCACCTGAGCCCCTGCCATTTATTTGGAGTCTTTAGACCATTTACATTAGATGTGATTATTGATGTGATCAGGGTCAAGTCTGTGGTCCTGTTTTTGCTTCCTTTTCTCTCTTGTCTGCCTATTTTGGATCGAATATTCCTGAGCAGTGAGATAAGATGCCCACCATGTGGAGGGCAATGCCCGCCACCACAAGGAGGAGCCCTCAGGCCTCGGCCCTCTTCTCTGGTCTCTGGTCTCTGCCCAGGAGGATGTAACACAGGGACACGGGGTCGGCGCTTCCCTCCCTGGAAAGAGAAGACACGCAGGAAAACCCACATTGGTAGCATGCTCTGCTCTCCCGTGGCGGCGGGTCCTGAAGCCAAGGTGGGGCTCATGCCGCAGCAGAGACCCGTTCTCTCCCCATGGGGCAGCCACTCGGCGGCGTTGGTTAGGGCTGTGTGATGCTCAGCAGTTTGGGGAAGGTCACTGCATACCTGGAATAGGGGAAGTTTTCCCTTGATGACGTGGAAGAATCCAAGGCTGAGGGACAGCCTTGCACCTGGTCTCCCCAGACGGGAGTGTTCCAGGCTGGGACACGCGTCACTTGTGGCAACTTCCCTGGCAAATACTTGTAAATGATTCCACTTTCTCTTTCGTTTGCTTATTAGTTACAACTGTCTTGTGATGTTAGTAGTTGCTGTGGGGCTGAGTACTCCCACCTGTAACTTACCACAGCCCCCACGCCTCGGACAAGTACCATGTGGCCGCTTGCCTCCCCCCTCCCCAGCCGGCCTCCGCCACACTGCGTCTGACACCTGCTCACAACCACTTTATAAACCCATGGTACATGACTAGTTTTTGAAGTTGATGATCCTTTAAAGAGATTTCAATAGTAAGTTACAAATTCTTCCCTATTTAACCATGTGATTACGATTTCCACTGACGTTCTTCTCTGTGGATTCCATTCTGTGCTCGGTTACTTCTGCCCGAATCACGGTCACCCCTTCGCCTTTCTCACAGTGTGTGTGACTGCTGGTGATGAAGCCTTTAGCTTCTGTTTGCCTGGAAAGGGCTATGTGGCCATTTCTTCTGTAGGACGCTGTTCTGGGAGTAGAACTCCGGGTGAAGTGTTTGGTGCCTACATGACCTGCTTTTCACAAGAGACCCACACCCTCCTCCCTGGGCTGTCAGCACATAGCGTGATTTTCTCCTTATTATTAGTTTTGAGAAATTTGATTGCCATGTGCCATAGTGTAGTGTTCCCCATGTTTCTTGTGCTTGGAAGTTACTGAGTTTCTTCAGTCTGTGGGTTTACAGTTTTCATCAAATTTGGAGAGATTTTGGCCACTATTTCTTTTTTTTCTCCTTTTTTGGGGGGTTTTATTAAAATTATAGTTAGCTAACATATAGCGTATTATTGGTTTCAGAGGTAGAGCTCAGTGATTCATCCGTTGCATATCACACCCAGTGCTCATTGCATCACACGCCCTCCTTCATGCCCATCCCCCAGTTACCCCCTCCCCCCAGTCCCCTCCCCTCCAGCAACCCTCGGTCTGTTTCCTAGAGTTAAGAGTCTCTTATGGTTTGTCTCCCTCTCTGATTTCATCTTATTTTATTTTTTCTTCCCTTTCCCTTTGTTCATCTTTTTTTTCTTAAATTCCACATATCAGTGAGATCATATGATAATTGTCTTTCTCTGATTTATTTCACTCAGCATAATACCCTCTAGCTCCATCCACATCATTGCAAATGGCAAGATCTCATTCCTTTTGATGGCTGCATAATATTCCATTGTGTATATATACCACAGCTTCTTTATCCATTCATCTGTCGATGGACATCTAGGCTCTTTCCACAGTTTGGCTATTGTGGACATTGCTGCTATGAACATTGGGGTGCAGGTGCCCCTTTGGATCACTCCATTTGTATCTTTGGGGTAAATACACAGTAGTGCAATTGCTGGATCGTATGGTAGCTCTATTTTAACTTTTTGAGGAACCTCCATACTGTTTTCCAGAGTGGTTGCACCAGCTTGCATTCCCACCAACAGTGTGGGAGGGTTCCCCTTTCTCCACATCCCCGCCAACATCTGTCATTTCCTGACTTGTTAATTTTAGCCATTCTGACTGGTGTGAGGTGGTTTCTCATTGAGTTTTGATTTGGATTTCCCTGATGCCGAGCGATGTTGAGCACTTTTTCATGTGTCTGTTGGCCATTTGTGTGTCTCCTTTGGAGAAAAGTCTGTTCATGTCTTCTGAGATTTTGGCCACTATTTCTTCACATTATTTTGTTGCCCCTCGCTCTGTCAGGAGCCCTGTCACAGGCACATGAGGTTGCTGTAAGTTCCCTATGCCTCACTAGTGCTCTTTTCATATTTTTGGATTCTTTTTTCTCTATGTGTCCCATTCTGGGTTGTTTCTATTGCTCTGCCTTCAGACTCACTACGTTTTTCTTCTGAAATGCCTAATCTGCTGTTAATCTCAGCCAATGCATTTAGAAAGTCAGACATTGTAGTGTTTTTTTCTGGAAATGTGATTTAGGTTCTTTTTATATGTCCATGTCCTTACTTAACTTTCAACCTATGGAATACATACTACTTTATACCTGTTTGATAACTCTAAACTCTGCATCAGGTTTAATCGGTTTTGATTTATTGAGTTTTCTCCTCATTATAGATTATATTTTCTTGCTTCTTTCATGCCAAGTAACATGATTGGATGCCATCCTCAGTATAAACCCAGACAGGGGTCCATCCTCAGTATAAACCCCAAGGGGG